AATCCCATAGAACATGTGTGAGTTATTTGGGGGAGACACCTTGCGGCACGATTACATCATCCGAGGAACATCCAACAACTGAAACAGAAGCTGATTGAGGAATGGGCATTGTTACTCAAGAACTGTTGCACATTCTGGTGCTAAGCAGGGGGAGACGATGTGAAGCAACCATTGTAGAAAGAGGAGGTAATATCCCGTACTAAGGAACATCTACTTGTTGTTCTTCCCCTTGGACTGACAATCATGGGTAAAGATACTATGAATTTAACTAAGCATTTTTGTTTGATTCCATACAATATGCATTGTATTCATTTTTAGAGACTATGCTTTCGTCATCGTTTAAGTACAAAATGCTGTCTCTCATTTCTGAATTCCGTGTCTCTCAGATGATTTCTCGTAGAGTTATGGCAAGAAAAACACCTGTTGCTTAAGTTCCGCACACCAGTGTAGATTTTTCTAGTACTTAATTATCTAATCCTATCATGGATTGTGTATTGTTTTTAAAATTTGTGATATAACTTCATAATTCCATTTCTACTATTAGCTCACACTCTCTATATATTTATGTATACATATATATATTTATCTTGTTCAAATTTTCAATCATTGATAAAAATTCTTTCTATTCATCCAATCAAGTTCAAATAAATTTTTTTTAACTTGTAGTGGATAACACTTGATGTTAATATAGTTTTTCAAATATTAATTCATTAATTACCGGTTAAATAGTTAAATTAAATTATTAAGATAGCTTGTATATAAAATAACTTCTATAAAGATGGGGTTGAACATGTTTTGTGGCCAGCCAACCTTTCCACTTTCTGTTAATAATACTGAGCAAAAACCTATTGGGAAAAAAAAGATAGAAAATCTAAATCTATTATGAGAAAAAGGTAACTCTTACCTAAAAATTGCATTCAAAAATGCAGAGGCCGCGCTAAATCTGAGTACAATAAACAAGTTATTGCCAGATTCTTGACACAAATGCAAACTCAAAGCGTAGGAATGGCTGAAAAGTAGCACGTAGCAAAATTATGAAAAGAATAGAAATAATAATTAAGAATTGTAAACATACTACCATTATCTTAAGGACTCTAAGATTATAAATTTTTTAAAAAAAACTAAGAGAACATATAATTTTTATCTAAAATTAGAATTTGGAGGTAACTATAACTATCTATGAAGAATAATAAATTTATAATAATAACCTAATAACATGGAAATTTAATCCTTACTATTTACAATTTGGTTTTTTCAAATATCTATTAATAAAATGTATTGGGTATTTATGAATTAAACAGTAATTAGTAAAATGTTTATAGTTTTTTATTTTTTCTGATTTAATATTTATTTATATATATATATATATAAACATGTTCAACCCCCTTTTATATAAAAAAGTTTTTATATATAAGCGGTTCCTAAGTCAACAATGTTGATAATAATGTAGCATCCATTCTTTTATATTTTTATATTTAACTCTGTTATTTTAATTTTTCATATCTCCTTTTTAAATTCTGTCGTCGGGTTATCTTGCAATTTCAATTCTTTTCAATTTTAATCATGTTTATTCATCTCTCTCTTGTAGAGAAATTTTGATTATATATATATATATATATATATATATATATATAACCCATTCAAAGTAGGAATTGACTTTAAAAAATTATTTTATATTACTTGTTTTTGTAATAAGTTTCATGTACATATTGTTACCTTCTTTAGCACCTTTTACTATCTCAGTATTCTCTTGAAAGAAAACAGATATTTAAGCAATAGTAAAAACCTTAACCAAAAATTTAAATACAAATTTTATGTTGTTGATTAATATAAGCAAAAATAAATAAATAGCAAAAAAGTGCTAACGTGCACCATTTTTCAGAAATGTTCGAAGTTGCTCATATTGAAACAAATAATTTCATTTAAAAGTGTAAGTACATTATTTTGTATATTACTATGCTAACTCAATTATATTCTTATTTTCAATTGAAAAAGAAACTGAGCATTGAATACATTTCAGATGATTCTAATTATATTCAATTTATTTATCATATCTTAAAATGCCATTTCCCCCAATTTTTATCCTGCAGTTTATTTCTTCATCAATTTGACGAAGATTTTTAATGAGCTAAATTCATGATGGTCACATGATAAATGTAATCACGTGTTCTCTGTTGAATTTAAAACTGACATTAGACTTATACTTGTCGTTCTACTTATAAATTTTACGTACACTTTCAAACTTTATAATTCAGTAAAAATGTTCAAATATTAAGATTCTTCAAGAAAAAAATTAAAAATTAAAAGAATTCTTATATTATAAGTGTATTTTTAAATCAAGTGCATTTTATTTGCGAATGTTATTGTTAGCAAATGTATTCTTTTTTAAAGAAAGTTTCTGCACAAGACAAAAGTTGGCAACATCGAAACGCGTTATCTAATCGGTTGGAAACACGTAATTTCAGTTTTCATGCAACTACAGCATCCCATGAATTTAACCCATTGAAACTTATGTTATAATCATTAACTATTTAGCTAAGCTTTCTCAATGCCTTCATTAAAATTTCATTTCTATGATATTTATTTCTAGAATTTTTTTAAATGTTTAATCGTTTTATTATGCATCAACTTAGTAAAGCAATTTAGATTTTATATAAGCTGAATTTGTAATAATTTTATGTATCATGAAGTAGTAATTGTATTCTGTTTAGTTAAATAACCAAGCCTTCACAAACTTTTTAGGTCTTTGCTTTGATTGCTATTAGCACAATTGTTGTAGTATTTCTTGAATTAGAGCATATTAAATATTTAGAATCAAAAAGACACATACGCTATTTCAATTATTCAACTTCTCCGAGCTCTTAAAGAGTTAAAATCAAAAATTATTTTACTTGTATTTCCTCAGAACATAAATAATTTTCATTCGCAAAGGAAATGATATCATTAAAAAAGAAATGGAAATCTCTTACAGTTCAGACTCGAGAAAAAAAATATTATTTTGCCTTATTTGAACAAAATCGTTTCTCTCATGTTTCTTAGCGAAACAACTGCATATAATATTACATTGTTTCAATTTCTTACAAACTAATTCACGTTGCCTTCCATATAGCGAAATGTTTACTTTTAGAATACTTTAAAGGAATAAAATTAAGAGTACGAATAAAACAAGCGAAAAATTCTATTCAACGTTATTAGAGACATACCTTTCCCTGAAATGGTATTTTTTCAGTATTTGGATTATTTACCAAAAATTAATAGTTTGAAAAGAAAAATTTGAAAATAAATCCAAAAACTCGTACCTCTGGTTTAATTTAGTCTTCTTATTTTCATCTTTAGTTTGCTATTTTTACAAAGAGACGAAATAATTATAACTTTTTGATCCTTTGATTATTCTAGAAACAAAATGAAAGCTAAATAGAACTGTAAGGGAAAAGAGGGTTGCCGAATCCCTATTTTAAAGTCCTATTTTAACTCTATACGTGTTATTCATTCATAAAAGATAACAGTCATTTTCATTTAAATAAAAATTGATAATATTTGAAAGGATATTGACTGTATTCGTATTCCGTATGCAATAGGGAAAATATCCACAATTCTTTTTGCATGTAACCACAACAATTGTATCCTATAATTTTTTTCTCAGCAACTAATAAGACTTCTCTTTCATTGTGATATACAAAGTTTTCGTATACCAGATAATTTGCATAGTAAATTCTTGTTCTAATGAACGCAGTACCAAGAGAAAATTTGTAAATGAGTTTTCTAAGTAAATTTAAAGTTTGTGTGAATTTGATCTGCTTTCAGAGAAAGTCAAATCGTGCAAAATAATATACGTTTCTCTATCAAGTCCATGCGTCCTCAAATTCCACTTAAAAATGTTTCCTCTCAAAAGAAAAAAAACCAAAGTTTTATAAAAACTATTCAAATGCTTATGTGCAAAGATAAGAAGAATTCTCTCTCTCTCGAATTGACACGTTATTAGGTCGTTTCTTGGGACTCCCATGTGTTCTAGTGGTTAGGATTACTAGCTTTCACACAGGCGGCCCGGTTTCGATTCCTGGCATGGGAAATATGGGTTCCATGGTGTAATGATTACCAATATGGGTTCTGAATTCAGCGATCCGAGTCCCAATCACGGTGGAACCTTACTTTTTGAAACAAATGGTATTTACACCTATCAAGACGTACATCTAGAAATCGAAACTTGTAAGAGTTTAAAACGGAAGAATTTAAAAGCATTGAAGATAAAAATATTTATTGTATGCATTTATAAATAACAAGGTTCTTTCGAGACCGACGAGTTTTTTTTTTTTAAATGAGGTTAACGCTTCTGAAAGTTTTTGTTATATTTCATTTTCCATCATGCTTAAATTACCCTTCCGTGAGACATATTTCAAAAGAATACTGAAAACAAAACCCATAGATCGCGTAAATTACATTACGTTGAAACGATTTTCGCACCTAGTGTCTCAATATTCCCGAAACATGATAAAGTCCTTTTACGTGCACAAAAATCGTATTTGTAGGAAGTTTATTGAAAATATATACCGCAAAAAGTTTCGTTCCAATGAAAATATTTCCTTTCGCATACCAAGCCTCGGTAGCGCAGTAGGCAGCGCGTCAGTCTCATAATCCGTAACTTGGAGAAATCTGAAGGTCGTGAGTTCGAACCTCACCCGGGGCATTTTATTACTGTTTTGGAGCTGTCTTAGCTTGAAGCGTCTGTCTCGAGCAATTACTATTTGAGAAATGTTTTTAAGTTGGAAATATTCATTTCGCTTTTGATTATTTGTTTCGATACAATGGCATGCCCTTTTCTGTTTATAGTTCAAAGTCCTATATATTTCGAGAAAGATGGTGTAAAATATTTGTTTCGGTAAACACTGTTTCAGAAAAGTGACGTTTTTTTATAAAAGTACTTCAAATGTTTAAGCAAAAATTAGATAACGAAATAAAGTCATTGCACTTTTACAAAAAAAGATGGATATGCTTGAAAGGAGTCCCATGTGGTCTATTGTTTGGGATTCCTTGCTTTCACCTAGGCGGCCCGGGTTCGATTCCCGGCATGGGAAGTTTGGATTCCATGGTGTAACGATTAATACTCTGGGCTTTGAAGCCAGCGATCCGAGTTCAAATATCGGTGGAACCTTTATTGCTTTATTGCGTGACGTCATTAACAAACAATCAATTTTAGCCAGTCGTTTTAAATTCGTTTACTTAATACGTTATATCCTGTGGAAACGTTTATTTCTTCGCCTAACTTAAACGAATATATTGATTTTAATGCTATAAAAAAGACTATCACACAGAAAGAGTAAAATATAATGAAGGGGTTTTTTTCTGTAACTATCTTTTTTTATCCTCTGATACTTGGAAGTATAATTCTAAATAATTCTTAAAACCCAGAAAGAAATCATTAAAAAAGATAATAAGAATACCTTCGTAAAATGGTGAGATAATGTAATTTGGGATTACCTTTTATTATGCCTAACCCTTTTGGATGCATCTTATTTTTATTTTGACTCGCAAGTCAAATTTTAAGGAATAAAAACAGCATATTTTTTACAATTAACAGTACGTTCAGGAATTCACAATAGCTGGTTAATAAAAACCTTAACTTTAAGAATTCCTCCTCCCCTTTACAAATGTTTTTATACTGTGTTCTCGTCCGTCTATTAAGAAGTTGAATGAATTTAACTTCGCAATGGAAAGCTCCACTATGTATTCTAAGGCTATGCTATATGCTTAAATCTTTGGACTATAAAGACATATTCACTAATGAAAAATTTAATTACATGAGAGGCTTATATAATAATCACAGACACAAGCTGAATAATATACTTACTTATAAATAACGAGTTAAAAGAACCGTTTGAAACCTAAAGCACTTTGAAAACTGACGACTTGTGTATTGTGGTGAGTGAGTAGTTATTTAAGTCGCATAACACAAGGGCTGTTGAATACGGACCTCGTAATTTTGAGCCACTTTCATGCGACGTTGTCGAAACCAGAGCGGACACTCCTCTGTTCGAACTTTCACATCACTTCAAAGGGGTGGACTTTGAGCCTCAATAGGTTTAAAATGCATTAACGTCTCTACACGGCAAGTCTTCAGTAGTATTAGGGTTCGAACTTATGACATACCGGCCATGAGCTAGTGTGTTGCATAGACGTATTGTGAATGCTTGAATGCGGCCATCGCAGTCCTATTACGATTATCGTCGAATGTGTTTTAACATTTTTTTTTAATTACGGTGGATTTTTCTCACTTTCTGAAAAAAAGACATTTTGGCTGTTCTTGAAGCAATGTGGGTCATACTTCGTAAAAATGGGATGGGCCCGTTCAAAACGGAATATGTGTATGATTACGTTAGTTAAGATAGTAAATAAATTCAAATTAATAGCTTATAAACAAAAGAAAAGGCTTTATAAAGGAAATTTAATTATTTTGTTATTAAAGCGATTTTGAGAGCTAATTCATCAACCACATCATGAGTTTTATAATTCGAAAGGTGTCTAAGCCTGCAAAGGATATACACTGCTGGCCACCGTAAAAGCAACACCCTGAAGGAAGCGCAAATAACATGAAATTTAAAACATGCATTAGCGGAGGTGAGATATGCAAATGATTAGAATTTCAGCGCAGGCACACATCACGCACGCCTGTGGTGCCACCTCAAAGCGCTATTTAAAGCTTGGAGATTTCGACGATTTCAAGTTCGGCTATTGTGTTTGTCTTGTGTTTTTTTCAAAAAAACTATCAGTTATGTCTCGTAGAAAACAGCAATCAGCTTTTGATCAAGTATCCGAGTTCGACAGAGGAAGGATAGTGGCCTACCGAGATTGTGGATTTTCTTTCAGGGAAATCGGTAGTCGTGTTGGACGAAACCAAACAACTGTAATACGGATATGTGACCGTTGAATGCAGGAGGGTAAGACGGACCGATGTGATCGATCGCATCCACCTCAGTGCACCACTTCACGTGAGGACAGGCAAATTGTGCGCATCGCAGTGACGGATCGCTCAGTTACATCACGAACTATAGCACAGCACATTTAGTCTGTAATGCATCATTCAGCGTCTGCGCGTGCCATTCGATGCCGTTTACAGCAGAGCGGTCTGTCCGCAAGAAGTCCATTGCTTGGTCTACCCTTGACGCAGAACCACAGACGTCTCCACCTCCAATGGCGCGATGAAAGTAGGATGTGGGTGGCAGAATGGAATGAAGTTGTCTTTACTGACGAGTCACGCATCTGTCTGTAACACCACGATGGTCGGATTCAAGCCTGGGGACACCGTGGAGAGAGGATGTTGAACAGCTGCATTATGCACAGCCACACTGATCCTGCACCGGGTATTATGGTACGGGGTGGTATTGGATATCACTCTCGCACTCCTCGAGTACGCATTGCCGGTACTTTAAACAGCTAGCGCTACATCTCGGAAGTGTTGGAGCCAGTTTTCCTTCCTTACCTTCAGGGCATGGCCACAGCCATATTTCAACAGGATAATGCGCGACCACACGTGGCACGCATTGTGCAAAAGTACTTCGTCAATCACCAGATTGAATTGCTTCCCTGGCCGGCTCGCTCTCCGGATCCTTCGCCGATATAAAACGTGTTGTCCGTGGCTGCTTAACGATTGACCCAGATTACACCCCCAGCTGCCACACCAGATCAACTTTGGCAACGTGTGTAAGCTGCTTGGTCTGCTGTACCCCAAGAACACATCCAAAGTCTCTTCGAATCAATACCGAGGCGTGTAGCAGCGGTGACTAAAAGACTAAAAAACGCGCTGATTAAGTACTAACAAATGTAAACTTTAATACTTTTTACCTTATGTTGATTGTATGTATTTAAATCATTTCTAATCACTGTACGAAAATTCACATATTTCTCTGAAGACCTACATTAAATTGATTGATACACACAGTGCCTTTTAATTTCTGTAATGCACGTGTTGTCTTTGTGAGCAGTAGGAAAAATGTTTCTTCCACTGCATTTCATTACGTATATTATCCAAGAAACATAACTAAATATGTTAGCCAGGAATTAACGTGGGATACTTTAAAGGCAGAAACTGACAATTTATATTTATTTTGAAAACAATAGTTTATTATGAATTACTTCGTATTTTCAAAACCCCTGTCTGTCTTTATAACAGGTAAGCTAAAACTTTTATTCTCCTCTTTTAAATGAAGAAATTCAGTAGCGCTTCAATTCCAACAATATCTATCTATGTGACTAAAATATATAATATTTCACATTTAAATATATTTGTGGCAATGGCTATTTCAGATTCACAAGTAACAAAATTGAGGCGTTAGAAAAAATTAAATTAAAAAAGTATATTCTAATTGTAATAGAATATTTCGTTAAAATTTAACTCTTGTTTTCACCATGTATTATGTGCACTCTTATTTTTCTAGAGTGGAAGGGGGCGGTATCGAAATATTCACTAGAAAAGGGGGCGCCAGTTCAAAAAAGGTTTGGAACCTATGGGTTAGATGTACACCTGTCGTTAATCGTAGCTTTGAGCCCCATGCAGGTGTCAGTACTTTTTAGCTCTGTTTCACGATAAGTTGGTAGAAGAACACCCCAGGAATGGACAGGGGCCTCCCACCTCACTTCCCCTTCCACCAAACTCATGGGAGGACTTGCAGCTCGACGGCTATTTAGAGTACCCCCATGCCGCAAAGGTCCTATACCAGTGATTCCCAAAGAGGTCTATATAGACCCCCAGGGATCTATGACGACCTTCAAGGGGTCTACGTTAGCAAAAAAATAATTTGGGGGTCCATGAGATGTAAATAGGGGTCTACGATTGTGACTCTCATTAAACCAGATCTTGAATTTAATTTTAAAAGAAAATTCAATCAAATGGAAACCAGACTCACCTATTTAACAGGTTTATTTACTAAATTTAATGAGGTTAATTTGCAGCTGCAAGGCAACTGCATAAATTTTATTAAAACAAGGACCTTATTTCAGCGTTTCTTGTGTGCAAGAATTAAGCTAAAGGAGTATAATATTGGACGACACAAATTTTTCCAGTTCCTTAATTGTCACAGAAAATCTACCAGGAAAAAGACGTTCGTTCAACATATAACGGTCCATTTTTTAGATTTTAGAATTAGGTTTCATAATGCTTTGACTATGGTAATATAACAGTAGGTAATCAATTCATATGGTCAAATTGAAAAAAATGTCAAATTACAAGAATTAGGCCCTAACGAAGATCTTAAAGTAAAGTTCAGAAACGGATATCAGCAATTTTGGCTTTAAAAAGATGTACCCCTGTTATTTATTCCATATTGTGGAATACTTTGAGAAAGTTTGAAATTGCTTTTTCAACTGAGGAGTTTCAGCACGTTTGCCAAACTCCAAAATAAAAAAAGAAAAGAAGAAAAGGCTGGACACTATTAACCGAGGAGATATCTAGGATAAACCTGACAAACTGATACAAAATGTTGAAAGTTCGTTATTGAATCCCGAGATTCATCAATCTCACTAAAAACATTTGTGTGTTGCTCAGTTAATTTATGTAATCGTTATTTTATTTATTAATTAAATTTTTATTTAATTAACATGTTGTTTCTTAATGTTTAAACACTGTACTTCACTACAGTTAGAAATTTAAATGTTTTACAGTAAGTATCTCTATACCAGCTGTCAAAATCACATTTAAGTTGATGAATTTGCAAAAATTCAAACATTAGGTAAGTAGAGGCTACCCAAAAGTGAAAAACCAGGCAAGGGGTCTATGAGGCAAAAAAGTTTGGGAACCTCTGCCCTAAACATTTACAAACATCCATGTCTTCTCCGGGGTTTGAATCCATTCCCTACAGAACAGCCGTCAGCGTCACTAACCACTATACCGAATGGGTAACAAGATAAATTAGTTATCTCATAAATGATATTAATTCTTAGACTTTTTTATGAGATTTTTAAATTTAGAATAAAGAAAACTCCGAACTAAAAATTAAGGAGTCAAATATTTTTCAATCATTTCATGTAGATCTTTATTTGGGTTTGGGGGGAGCGTCTTCTTCTTCTTAGAAATCATCATAAATTAAGGAAGAAAAAAAATTAAATGTTTACAAAATATCTTTCTCTTCAATGTTTTCCTTATCTTCATGCAATGTGTTC